GAACCAAGTTGAAAGCATGTCTACGCATAAATAATAATTTTTTAACTTTGTGAAAATGCAGCGTCACTGTTGATATTTATGTGTCGGCCTTCTTATGAACTTAAGAAAAATTACACTGTGGCTACAGGTCGAGTCAGGAAAATTGGAAACTTCGTACGTATTAATTGCAAACAGTTTGTTTAACTGGTTTCACCTGTCTACCCTTTAAAAGAATGACGATTCATGAACAGTGCGGACGTGTTTCGTAGATGATAATATGAAAATGGCGAGAAAATAGTACCATTCTTATAAAATGCAGATTCACAGGTTAATAGCAAGAAATATGGCATAATAATGTTTTTAAAATTTAGATTCACTCTTCATTGTCACTCCGTAGTTACTCTCTCTCTCTGAGCATCTTGTAACCTTGCCACTGGGGATAAATTGAGAGTGAAGTTAATAAGAGACTGATATAATTTTGATTCGCTGATTTTTTCAATATTCCGTAAAAAATATTTCAATAACTCAACCGACCATAAAGACTGATTCGTTGCAAACACTCTATCTGTGCTTCGTTAGTAATCTAACAACATCAGCTGAATCCAGTCGAAATGTATACTCAGAACTAATTTGCAGCTACAGTAAAAATCTATCAATGCATCCGGGATGTGGATTTTCTCAGCTTAAGACAGAATGATACCTATAGTAAACAAGCAAAAATACTCAGTCAGATATGCGGTTCAGTTGCGTGTCACAAGTCTTGACACTATGTCTCTGTATGCGTCTACGTCTTTATGGATAAGTGGGAAGCACATAGAAAATTTAAAATGAATAATTTTAAAAAGATAATCAGCAAATCAAAATTATATCATTCACATAGTTGTATAACTCCTGATTTATACGTGTAGTCTCAGTGGCATGGTTACAAGATCCGCAGAAGTCGCAAACGGAGTACACGATGGCACTAAAAAGTAAATCTACGAGTTTTGAACAACACTATTATGCTGTAAATGTAACATAACATAACTGATTTTTGGCCCTTTGCTGATATTGCAGTTTTATACACCTGAAACATTCTTTCAATCACGAAAAGGTAATATCATAAAACTCTATACAAAATGAAAAGACACTCATTCTGTGAAGATTTATGGCCGCTGTTAACTCGATGATTGAAATGCTTTGTTTCGCTTCATCGCTATTGCTTGCATGTGCTTGAGTTTTTCTTCTGTACTAGCGTATTATGCTCCGTTGAATGAGGACGTTAGTCGCCGCTTTTACTTTAAACGAGCGGGAATAAGCTTAAAAAATCAACAGTCTTTAGGCATAATTAACCTCAATGAACTACGTTGATGAGATTGGCGGAAATACAGAACTTTACGGAAAAATCAAAACGATGATCTGCTGCTGGCTTTTCAAAGCTTTTCCTTGGAAACCCAGTAAACAGACGCCGTGTGACAAACTAAACTGCTGAAAATAAAACGCATATTTCGTTCCGGTGTTCTCTTCAGTGACGTGCTGTGGAATATATCAATTCGACACTCAGTAACGAAAGCTACAGTGCTAGCTGACTTATGAGACATTTAGCTATATGAATGGCAGTTGAAGAAAGATTTTGCTCGTCAACAATGCGAGACGGATAGTCACAATTGCGAAGGCTCTCTATATGTTTCTCCTTCATTCACTATATTCTCTAACCGGCAGAAATGAGGTTACTTCGAAGGATTGAAGTGGCTATACCATTACAAAGACTCACAGAACTCGGTCATTCGCAAATACACATGGCAACCGGTCAAGAGCAGATCTAGGCCGAATATTTCAGTGTATCGAACACACAGCGTAGTGCACCCTGGAATTCAGTCAGGAAAACACACCAGATCCGAATGAGGGTTGGCAAAGCCTCCTGAAGTTGCTGCCTCCTCAAAATGAAAAAAAGTACGAGTTTTTAAATAAAGTTAAAGGAATGAATTCAGCCAATCAACGGTCGACTGAAGTTGTAAAAAGTTTACAGCAACGTTGATTCGTCGAACTCGTTTTCATTCCATTATTCCATGGCCACTTTGCCTTGGTCAACTGTTATTCATGAATTTGCCTTGCAGGGCGCGTACCACACGATGGTCACGTTCAACCATTTGGTCAAAATTTTAAGCCCTTTTGGAGATTTCTCAACAGCAATTTAAGTTGCCTCATGTTCGACTTAAAATTAAGTTTTCTTCACGACTTGACCTTGATTCGTTTATTAAGGCACTTAGTTTGCATGGGACAAACTTCAGTTTTAACGTCCTCAGTGTACTCATTTGTCTTGTTTTCCGAGACATAGTAGGAAACGTGACTGCAAGGGGCTGCCACGGCTTCCGATGGACGTCGTCGAGCTTTGCAAGGAGAAAGGCACGATCTTGTCAGCAGGACTGGTATCTCTAACCTTCACCTAGAAACGCAGAAATCTGATGTTATTTACAATTGCCTCGAAAATTTCCATACTCTTTGCTGACCTTCAGAATGCAATTCGTTTCAGAGAAAAACAGTGATTGGTTCTTCTTGTATCCGTGACTTTTTAAAAACGGCATTTCAAATGATTTTACGTTGTTGCGAAGAAAAAACGCTTGCCGGAAGATTCGATTCTCAGCATATGGGCGAGGTCGTCACTTTGACCACCTCGAACCAGGGTTGCTGATGATTGACGTCTGGATAGATTATATCATCTGTTCGTCACCTGTCAGCCGACCGTGATGTAATCGATATCTACTGGCCTGTTATTATGAGATGGCGAAAGGACGCGTTTACCATCGCCAAGTTAGACTCTGAAGTCGATCGTAGATTCAGCACCTCTTGAAAAGTTATCACTCCTACTGTTGCGAGGTACTTTAAATCCCTCTTAAACGAAGATTGTCTTTCAATATATGAACAGCCATAAAGCTTACTGACACAGTGAGGTTGTCCTTTAAGACCAACCTTTACTCATGTGTTACGTCGGTCATGAGACGTAAGAAACTTCTACTATATCATCTATTTATTAATAAAACAAGTTAAATTATCATTAGGAGTTGAGTTTTAACGTACTTAAATAAATACTAGTCATAGAACAGGTAACTGGAGAAAAGCTACAATATATAGCGCAATTAATTATTGGTAAAAACCGTAATTTTTCTGGGATTCAAGAAAACGTTCCTAATTCTCATTTTGTTTAATATTGTATCAGCACGGTAGGTAATGACGTATATCACAATAATGTCAGCTGAAGGTAATATTCACTGAATTTGAATGATCTTTGCAGTAACCGAGGCCTCTTGATCTATAGTCGAAAACAATCTCTCAAGCTTAAGCTCATCAGTTAGGTGTCTAATAGTGTTCAGTAGAAAAAAACGTTTTCTGTGCGATCTGAATGACAGTGCTCATAACGATCTACCTTTTGGTTCTGCCTGACCGAGATTGTATCTGAAAGCTATGGACATTAAACGATCTTAGAATAACGTTCAAACTTATCGATCAATCATCACAATTAGCCATTTATGACAAGATGGTGACAGATCGCAAATTTTATTATCTATTCAGAGTAATGCCGACATGATCGTGCAAAATTAAGCATCGCTGCAGAGCTGAATGTTCAGGTTTAGACCACCATTAAATTGAAAAAATTGTACGAATGAAACTATTTTCCTTTACAATCCTAGATATCGCCTATGACACATTTTTTCGACTCATTCAAGAATCCTCGTCCATCTTTCAGAAGGTAGAGGTAGACAACTACTAGACGGAAAATAGTTTTTGCCTTGATTTCTTCAAGATTGATACTAGCGGTGGCCAATAGTCGCATTTCGACGTAGTGTGTAGTCAGGCCCTCTTTCTGTTAGATGTTATCATATCATGAGAAGCATAGGGCGCTCCATCGATTCCGCTTCATTTTCCATACTACATCGGTCGATGCTTGTTACCGCCATGGATAAGCTGAAATTGGATGATGAAGAGACCGTTTTTCGAATGCATTCTACAGATCTAATTTTATGGCGTGGAATCGTCATAGGACCAAAATAAACACCCGCATCAAATCGACCATAAACCTGGCAACACATAAATGGGAGTTGACAAATCACGTTTTTGTAGGACAGATT